GGATGTCGTCTACGCGCTCAAGCGCCAGGGCCGCACCCTCTACGGCTTCGGTGGCTAAGCATGGTGTCGCTGGCGGGCGCAAGCTCACAGCAACAGCAACAGCAACAACAACAACAACAACAACCTGTGTTCTTTTCAGAACACACCACGTAGCACAGCTCGGGCAGCAAATGAAGGAACCAACCAAATGTGGAGCAGTCGATATGGAGCAGCGTGTTGGTGGCAGGGAGCGATGTGAGGTTTGGCCAGACGGTGTCACGGCGGCGGCGCGGTTTGCTTTGGGGGAAGAGGTAGGGAGGGAGGAATAGAGGGGGAGAGGGAGAAGGAGAGGCATTGGCACATACCCCGACCGACCTTGGCCTTCCTCCCATCTCATCGTGCTCGGTCGTGCCCAAGGCCTAGTCCGAGGCCTAGCCCATCCGTTTTCTTTTCTGAAGTTCTGGCGGTTCTCGTGGGATCCTGACAAAGCCGAAACCACGCACGTGCCAGCAACACAGTCACGCGTCGACGCAGCCGAGCAGCGACACGAGTGTCAGCGCAAGCAGCACAAGCTGTCGGCCAGGTGCTTGCTCAAAGCCTCCCTCCCTCCCACATCCAGGTCGCCCTCTCCCCAACCCCAAATAATGCGACTTCAAAACTTTCCATTTGGTTCAGGTGTGAATGGCTGTACAGCGGCGGCGGGTGGAGGGAGGGGGAGGTACGGGCACGGCTGGCAAAGACACAGACACACGTCTCAAAAACACGACCTTGTAGTTGTGACCGAGCTAGTTTCAAGCCTCTCTCTATCTCTCTTTCTGACTCTCTATCAACATGGCTAGGGCTCGTGGTGGACGTATGCCCAGGCGTAAGCTTGGACGGGGCAAGGCGAGGAAGAAGGACCAAGGTGGTGGACGGAAGGAGGTCAAAAAAGTGACCATTCTTTCGGCAGCAGAGGCCAAGGCGCTCAAGGCGCAGACTGGGGGTTCGAGTGGGGCCGGCAATGGCGATGGTGACAGCGGCTCGGCTGGTGCAGGGTCTGGTGCTGACTTTTCTGACGGAGTCGATGCGAGTCTGCTGTACCCGAGCAAGCCGGTCGATGAAGTGGTGGGCGAGATCCAGCGGATGAAGGACAGGGAGCGCGAGAGTCTCACCTCGACCGTGGCTGAGATCGAGGAGGAGAACGCGGTGTTGGCGGTGGATCCGTCCAAGACGATACACCCGAAAGTGGTCATGGCTGAGCTGAAGGAGCTGGCTGGCCTGCAGAGCGAAGACGGGATGCTGATTCCGGGCAACGCGCCGCTGGTCCCGTCGTTTGTGGCGTACGCACACGCGCGTCAGATGGTGCTCAGCTCGCGGTCGACGCTCATGTCGCGCGGCATGCTCCGCGTGCTCAACGCCAAGCTCCACGAGGCACTCGGCAGCGAGGTCGCCAACAAGCTCATTGCAGCGTCCAAGTACACTGCGCCGTTCCGGCCCGACGCGGCGGTCCTGGAGAGCGGCAGCAAGGCGCAGCCCAGGGCCGGCGAGAGTGGCAACGAGAGCGAGCAGTCGAGTGAGTCTGGCGGCGCCGGCGTCTCACGCGGTGTGGCACTCGGCCTCGGCGCGGTTTTTGCGCTCCTGTCGCAGGCGCACGCGACGGATCCGCAGCTGACGACGACGGCGCTCACGGTGGTTACCGACCTGCTCGCCGAGTTCCTCCCGGGCGAGCTTGCGCGGGCCGAGGATGGGTTCTACCTCGACGAGCTCGAGGAGCTGCTCCTCTCGATGCTCGACGGAAGCTCGAGTGAGGCAGCGGCGGCGACGGTCTCGGCGCTGCTCTCGCTGGCGCTGGCGCGCATGTCGCGGGCATCGCTCGCCACGCTTGCTACGCGGCTGGTGGATCTCGCGGCCAAGGCCGAACCGCAGACGATCACTGCTCCTGTTGGTCTCTCCAAGACCGCCCGTATGGTGCTCAAGTACATGTACGAGGTCAGCAGCGGTCGCGGGGCCAATGACGGCGCAACTGGTGACGGCAACGGCAGTGGCGCAGCGGCTGTGATGACGGCCGACGCCGGAGACGGCGTGGCCCTCGACGGCGACGCGTGCAACGGCGCGGTCTTGGCAGCAGCGGCCGACGGCGACGCGCTGTACGTCCACTTTGCCGGCGGTCGGCTCGTGTCGTTTGAGCGCGAGAATGGCACCGTGCGGGCATCGCGGGACGGCTTTTATCCCGAAGCGACGACGTCGGCGCTCGCAGTCAGGGGCGAGCAGCTCTACTGCACGTGCTCGGAGATGTCGCTCGGGGTGGTGGCGGTGCTGAGCAGCGGCAGCCTGGCCGACGCCTCGCTTCTTGTCTGCGACATTGGTGTCTCGGAGAGCTTCCAGGACCTGCCGCTGCTCTCGGTCTCGTTTTGCGACGCCGGGCTGGCGGCCATGTATGGCACGGCTATCCGCAGACAGTGCGTGGTCAAGACGTATGCGCTGGAGGCCGACATGCCGCTGCTGAACGTGAGCTCGCTCGATGCTGTAGCGGCCGAGGCGACCACCGGCGACATGTGTGTCTTTGGGCTGAGTGGCGTGCGATCGTGGGATCCGGCCGGCGGCGCGGGCTTCCGGGTCCTTGCCGACAAGGCGCCGAGCGAGGCGCTCGCCGGGGCAACGCTCGCGGATGTGGCCGTCATCGACGAGCTCACACTGTTTGTCACCAGCGCCGGCCATGTGCTCTTCCGTGGCACCGATGCCGGGCTCGGCGGCGCCGAGGTGAGCCGACAGGTGGCCGAGTACGAGCCGCTGCGGGAGCTCTCTGTGGCGCGCATTGTCGTTCCGCCACCGCGGGGCGAGGGCGTGGCCGCAGCCAAGTACGTGCATGTTCTGACTCGCGACGGCGGGCTGTATGTGCTGGGCGACACGTCGCATCCGACCGACGCCAGCGCCAGCGGAGTGGAGCTGGCGCTTGCCGGCGGCGGCGCGGTTGCGGGCTCGTTCTCGCCTGTCCGACTCGTCCGGCCTGCGGACGAGACCGACGGCACACCGTCAGTGGTGGCGGAGGCGCAGATCGCCATCGAGGTCCAGGCCATCGACGTGGCGTCGAATGGGACGACACTGTATCTCATCGACGATAACGGGCGAGTCTCTGCGTGCGGCAAGTCGCCACTCGGCTTCAAGGCCGCGTCCGAGGCCAACGTCGAGCCCAGGCTCAAGGCTGTTCCCAAGCTCTCGTCGATGACGGCAGTGCGGGTGTCTGCCAGCGAGCTGCACGTTGCTGTGCTTGACAACAAGGGCCAGGTGTGGGTGTGCGAGAAGGGCGCCAACTCGCGGTTTGCCAAACTCGCGCTCGGCGGCAATCTCGGATCCCCGTGCGACGTTGTTGCCGGCGACGGATGGACTGCTGTCCGGACGCTTGATGGCAAGGTTGCGCGGTTCGCCACGGTGGCAGCAAGCGCAGCCAAGGCCAAAGCGGAGGCCAAGGCGGAGGCCAAGGCGGAGGCCAAGGCCAAGGCTGACGATAATGGTGAAGGCGATGACGGGAGCGCATCCACGTTTGACATTGTGCCCAATGTTGTGCAGGCGCTGGCATGCGGTGATGCGCTGTGGACACTCGATGCGCACGGGAAGTTGGTGGAGCACCGCGGCGATGGCGATGGCGCGGGCGCCGCTCGGCTTGCGTTGCCCGAGTCGGGCGTGGTCGCGTTTGGCGTCGGAAGTGATGGGCGGCTCGAGGCCGCCATTGCGCCGCTTCTCTCCAGAAGCGCTCAGACCGATGGCGGGAGTGTGTTTGCGAGCGCAGGCAAGATTGTGCTCCGGACACCGCTCTCGCGTGAGACGTCAGTCGGCGGCACGGCGACAGTGGTGCGGCGAGCTGCAGCGGTGACTAGTGTGACAGGCTCGGACGGTGCGCTCGTGGTTGCTCGCAACGGCGACGTGCTGCGTGCAGTGAGCGTGGCGGCGAGCTCGGCCAATGGACCGGCGGCGGCGAGGTCCGAGAGTGATGAGGCCGAGGGCGAGGCTCTGGACGCCGAGGTGACTCAGCTGGAGCTCGGCGGCGTGCCAGGAGTTGTAGCACAGATGCTGGCACAGCTGAGCAAGGACAGCAGTGGCGGAAGTGACTTGCTCTCGTTGATCAAGGGCGCTGCCGACGGAGCGTTCGGCGAGCTGACAGAGCGTGGGCTCAACTCGAGTACGGGCAGATTGTTACATCGCCGTCGCGGTTCAGTAACGCGTACACCGGCTGGCAGCTGCGTGCTGTGGAGAAGATTGGCATGACAGTCAGAGGAGCGAAGGCCGTGGCGCTGCATGGCATCGGAACGTACGGTGGCGACGGCGAGTACACGGTGTCGTTTGAGGTGATCGAGTCCGGGACCGGGCGCGTGGTGGCGCGTGGGGCGTCGTCGTTCAAGTCTTCCACTGCATCGGTTGTGCCGCTCAAGTGCACCAAGCCTGGCGTGCTCATCCCGAACGTGCGCTACGCCGTTGTGGTGCAGCAGAAGCTCAAGAGTGGCGGCGGCGGCATGCAGTACTACGGATCGGGAACACAGAGCCCGTTCCAGGTTTTCCTCCCGAGTGGCGCCATCAATATCCTGTGGTCGACGATCGATAACAACGGCGGGACCAACGTTTCGTCGGGCCTTATTCCCACGCTGGAGCTCTCGGATGTGTGTGTGAAGAAGTCGGCGGGACCGACAGCGTCGTACTCGCTAGCATCTGCAAATGCTGACAAGACGCGGAGCAGCATGATGGCGGCACTGCAGGCGGCCGAGGCGATGGTGAGCAACACCGAGGCTGTGAGCACGGTCCGCGATGCGGTTCGCTACGTGACCAACTCGATGGGGGAGGTGCCACGGTTCGGCACGGACGCGCAGCTTGTGGAGCGGCTCGGCGAGGTGGTGCATGCGTTTGTGGTTGCCCAGGGTGCCGAGACCGCACGTCCGGCCTTTGTCTCTGCGTATTCGTTTGTGTTCCGCACATGGGAGGCTCGTGCTGAGGCGCTGGTTGCGCTGCTCCGCGAAGTGGTACAGACTGGGTACGGCAGCGACCTGCTCCGTGTCCACGCGCACGCCCTTGCAGAGCTGCCCGGTTTTGCGGCGCACTTGCTCCATGCGTCGCCGGCCGAAGCCATGGTTGGCAGCAGCGGCAGTGGCAGTGGCAAGGGCAAGGAGGAGACTGATGCGGTGGACGGCGGCGTAGGCTCCGGCTCCGGCTCTAGTTCTGGATCAGGCCTGGGGCTGCTGCTGCTGGAAGCAGCGCGTCTGGAGCCTGCGGTGATGCCGTTGCTGAAGGCGTTTGTGTCGGGCCTGCACACCTGTGTTCTGCACAACAAGCCGCAGCACAGCGGCGGAAAGGTGGTGGAGGCGCCGATTGCGAGTGTGACGCGGTTTGAGAACCGCGGTCCATCGTGGGGCTACGGCTCGCGCGATGCGCTGCAGGTGTCGGCGGCCGAGGACGTTGTGCTCATCGGGTTCTCGCCGATTCACGGCAGCGGGGACTACAATGGCAACATCGAGATCATGGACGAAGCCAGCGGCGACGTGCTCTACAAGCAGGATGACATCAACCTCGAGTGTGTCTCGCCGGACGAGCCGTGCGAGATGGTTGCGCTCGACGAACCGCTGGTTATGGACGCCGGGGTCAACTACACGCTTGCATGCACCTTTCATGGCTCGTCGGGCAACCGCGGACTCAACGGTGTGGCCTCAGCTGATGGCGACGACGGAGTCGCATTTACATTTACTGGCTCGCGGCACTCGCACAACGGCACGTCGGTCGAGTACGGACAGCTGCCGGTGCTTTACTATCGGCGGGCGACAGCGGTCGCGGTTGTGACTCCCGCGGTTGTCGACGACGAGTCGTACGAGAATGCCGTCAGCGAGTGGCGCAGTGTTGTGGCGATGTATGTGACCATGGCTGCCGAGGTTCTGAAGACTGAGGAGCTTTCCAGCGCCGTGGCGGGCGTGGTGGCGGACGTACTCCAGCTGCCGGCCGGCGTGCTGATTGGCGAGGAGAACGGGATTCTTGCCGATGCGGCTGCAGCGCTGGCGCAGCGGGCGTCGGCGACCAAGATGTGCCCGCCGGGAAGCGAGGAGGAGCCACAGCGCGCTACGTTCATCGAGTCGGCGCACCCGTACCCTGACGGCGTGACGACGGTGCAGGAGGTTGTAGTGCCGGGCGAAGCGGCAGTTGTGGTCTTTGACGCCGAGTCGCGGACGCTGGGGCCGGACGACACAGTGCAGGTGTTCTTGGACTCGAGCCTAACGACGGCGATCACGCCCAAGATGTATGGCGAGACCAACTGGCCCAAGGCGCCGGTTCTTGTGCCGACGTCCAAGTTCTGGATTGCGATCCAGTCAGCCAAGCTTCCACAAATGCTCCCGCACGGGCTGGATGTTGAAGCAGCGCGGCGCGGATACGGTGCACTCGTGTACAGCGTGCCGCGGGCTGACAGCGAGCTGTCGACAGCATCAGAGGGGGTGTACCTGGCATGCCGGGCGCTGGCTATGGCGGAAGAGGCGCTGGCGAGCGTCGAGTACGAGACGACGCCTGTGAGCAAGGCGCTGCCGGAAGATGCATCCGCCAACGATGTGGCTGCGGCGGCCGAGGCTGCGGCGGCCAAGGCCGAGGCAGCCAAGGCAAAGGTGGAGCGGATGCTCAAGGAGGTGCCGCTGCTTGGCAACGGCATCGAGCCGAGCGAGGTGAGCAGCGCAACGCGTCGGATCCGTAAGTTCCTCTCGGACTTTGTGGAAGAGAAGGAGGATAGCTCTGGCGGGCAGCTGGGGCTCTGGCTGTGCGGACTTGTGTTTGGTGATGATGAGCCCAAGGCGAGCGAGTCGGCCAAGGCGGACGCGGATGCGGACACGGACGCGGACGAGGAAGCCGAAGCAATGAGCAAGTTGAAGCGGAGTGCGCGGACTCTCTTTGCGGCGCACCTCCATCACCAGAACCTTGTCGAGTATGCGATGGCGGCATGCGTTGAGCTCAAGTTTGCCGGAGCGGAGCAGAGCCAGATGCTCTCGGCGCTGAAGACGCTGTGGCTGAAGGTATGCAAGGCACTCCAGCCGTGGGGCACCAAGCTCGGCATGCTGAACGATGACGCGATATCGGGCGACGGCAGCGATGCCATTGAGACGCCCAACGACAAGGCGGTGTCTGGCATCGCTGTGGCAGCGGCAGCATATGCTGCGGCTGGCGATGACGATGACGACGACGACGACGACTTTGCGCTTGCGCTGGACATTCTGTTCTCGGAGCCGCGCAAGGCTGGCGAGGTTGTGGTCAGCAGGGTGTGCGCGGAGATGACGATCGACGAGGTCCAGGCCAAGGCGCAGCTGCTGCTGGATCTCCAGGCGCGGGCGCTGTTTGAGGACGTGGTCGGGACCGAGGGCGAAGGGGAGTGCGACGGCGACGGGCGTGGCGGCTCCGAGTCCGAGTCAGACTCTGACGACGGCCCGCCGCCGATGCTCTCGCGTGCGCACTCGGACTTTAACGCAAGTGCGGCACGGGGGATCGCACCGCATGTGCAGCGGACAACGCAGCGGATGGCAACAGTGGCAGACCTCGGGTCGCTGCTGGATGTGCAGTCGAGCCGACGGGCCAATGAGCGTGGCGGGCGCGACGCGCGCGGGAGCAGTGCCGGCCGCGGCGAGGTGGTCAAGCTTGTGAGCTCTGCAACGTACCAGACGATCATGCGACTCATGTTTGAGGAAAGCTTTGACGTGGTGGCGATGCGGTCGCGGGTGGAGCGAACCAAGAGTATTGCAGAGGCGCGGGAGCGGACAATGCGGACGCTGAACGAGCTGCTGGCCAGCTCCCGCGACGCCGAGGCGCAGGCAATTGTGCTGTGGAGCGTGTGCTCGCAGCTGCGCAGTCGCAGCAAACGGCACTACTCGGCCGGGATCGAGGGCGCCGGACTGGGGCTCGTTCAATCTCTGCGCGAGGCGTTCCACGCCCTCTACCGCCGGATCGCGCTCCTCATCACGGATGGCGCGTCCGAGGCGGTGCAGCAACTTGCGGTGGCGTGCTTTGACCTGGAGTTTGAGGCAGCAGACCATCCGCATCTGCAGGCCAGCGGCGTGTTTGGCCTGCTCCGGTCTGTGATGCAGAGCAAGAGCACCGAGAGCGGGAAGGGGCGCAGGTGACGACGACGGAGCTTGAGGACGTTTCCACGGTCGGAGCGATGACGGCCAAGCCGAACAACGGCATGCGTGAGTCGATGACTGACGGCGATACCGACACATTCTGGGAGGGCGACGGAAACGGTGGGACGGTAACGTTTGAGTTCCCGGACGAGGTGTACGTAGAGGCGATGACGGTGGCTGTTGCGGCAGGCGACAAAGCCGCTATCCCCAGTGGCATGTCGTTGGCGTACGGCGTGCACCCGGACTACCTCGATGGCGAGGTAGCGTCGGTTTCTGTGGACAGGAAGTCACTGTACACCGAGGACGGCAACATCGGGTGGTTCACATACCCGGTGGGCGTGGCGAGTCGGACCTTTGTGCTGCGCGTGAGCGGTCAGACACCACGGGTGCGGCAGCTGCGGGTGCTCGCGCGGGCGGTCAAGGCGCGAGTGCCCGGCAAGGCGGGACCGAGCTTTGCGCACGCGGCGCTCGGGGTGTTTAACCGCCTCGCGGCACAGGTGTTTGGCACGCTACAGGCTGGCGGCGATGGAGCGTCGGCGGACCTCCGCGAGCAGCTTGTGTCGATGCTCGAGGATGCGTCGCCGCTCAAGGCCACAGTGCTCGACGTGCTTCGGGCGGAGCTGGTGCGTGTGACCGAGGCGCGGCTTGGGCTCGCGTGGCAGCCGTCGCAGCGAAAGACGGCGGCGAGCCGGGTGGCATTCGAGCTTGCGGTGGCGGACGACACGTTCCCGTTCGAGCTCATCTCGATGGTCCACGCGCTGTCTGCGAGCAAGGCCGGGCTGGCTTGGGTGTTGTCCGGCGAGGGCATGCCTGTGGTGTGGGCGGCGGGCGCGCTGCTGCTGACAGGAACGACGCGTGTGCAGCGCGGCGCGCTGGGAGTGCTCAAGCGGGTGTTTTCGAGCGACGTTGACTTTGGCACAATGGGCCGCGCGCTCGGCGTTCTTGTGGGCGGCACAACGCTCGCCGAGTACTTTGCAGCTGTGGTGGCCAAGACACTGCGGGCCACGCTGCGGGTTGCCGGCAAGAAGGCCAAGAGCGAGGAGAAGGGCGCGGCGGAGCGTGAGTTTGACGAGGTCTTTGGCGAGCTGCCAGCCTACCGCGGGCAAGTGCCGGACGAGCTGCGCGCCGGGGTGGTTGAGCTGGCGCGAATGGCGATTGCCGGCGGCGAGAACGAGGGCGAGCACGAAGGCGCGACTGTCGTGCGAAGCCGGCTCGTGGCGCAGGTCTCTAACCTGGTGCAGATGCAGGAGCTGGATGCGAGCGAGATGTTTACGTCTGAAGCGCTATGGCTCTCTGTGGCGGCGCTGGGGGTGTTGTGCGAGGACGAGACTGCCGTGGCGGCTGTCAACGAGGCCGCAAGCGCAGCGCTCGCACGCGAGAGCGACGACGGCAACGACGGCGCTGCTGAGGTTGTGCTGTGCGAGAACCACGACGACGGGGTGACCAAGGCCGCGATGCGGTGCGAGAGCTGTGCCACTGCACTCTGCGCCGACTGCGACCGATTCCTGCACCTACCGCGCAACAAGCGCGAGCACACGCGTGAGGCGATCATCGATCACGAGGCGTTTGTGGTGGAGATGCGCGAGGGATGCGCACGGGTCAAGATGTCGCAGTTTGTGGTGGTCTTTGACGTGGAGAAGGGCAAGGTCCTTCTCCGTGTTGAGGCGCGCAGCAGCTCCGGGCGCGCGTGCCGGTTCTGCGGCAGCGAGCTGAGCGTGGAGAACGAGGTGCTTGTGGCCAAGGTCCGTGACGTGTGCAACGACGCCGAGTGCATGGAGCGGAGTGAGCAGGTGTGTGTGGATGTGCTCGAGTGTGGCCACCCATGCGGCGGGGTGCGCGGCGAGAAAGAGCATCTGCCATGCCTCGTGGCTGGGTGCGACGAGGCGATGACGGTGGCGAAGGACGATATGTGCATGATCTGCTGGACGGAGCCGCTCGAGGCGGCGCCGGCGGTGAAGCTCGGGTGCGGGCACGTGTTCCACGCCATGTGCGTGGATCGCTTGCTCAAGGCCAAGTGGTCGGGCCCTAGGATCAACTTTGGGTTTTGGGCTTGCCCGCTGTGCAAGGATGCGCGGTTCGAGCATCCGGCGCTAGAGGAGGCGATTGCGCCGCTTCGCGAGCTCGAGGAGAAGGTCAAGAGCAAGGCCAAGCTCCGGGCGCGCGCATCTGGCCTTGCCGAGGACGCCGCTGTGATGGCCGAGTACGGCGATGACGTGGTGGCGGCTGCGATGGCGCGGTTTGCTTACTACCAGTGCTACGAGTGCAAGGAGCCGTACTACGGCGGCGCGGTGGCGTGCGAGGCGGCCGGGCGCGGCGGCGACTTTGACGAGACCGAGCTCGTGTGCGGAGGATGCGTCGGGCGGCGGATCGGGGCGACGGCGTGCTCCAAGCACGGAATGGGCGACAACATGGTGTTTGCGTGTCGGTACTGCTGCTCGGTGGCGGTCTGGTTCTGCTTTGGAACGACGCACTTTTGCGATACCTGCCACTCGAACGTCGGCGGCGTGCAGGCGGCGGCGGCGTCGGAGGACCGGCCAGTCTGCCCGGTCGGCCCGGGATGCAAGCAGCTGCCGCCGGGCCCGTGTCCGCTTGGGCTCAAGGAGTGTCCGCCGGTGGGCGAGGAGCTCTGCCTCGGTTGTGGCCTCTGTGCCGAGGCGCAGGAGTACTAGACTTGGTTATCTTTACATACCACGCAGCCTGTCCGTGGCTGCAACAAAGCGAAGGCCGGACGTCTGTCTGGAGACGTCGCCTGCCGATGCTGTGCTGTGCATCGCTCGTGTGTTCCCCATCTCGGTGGCATCTGCGACATAAAGAGCAAAGCAAGACCAGCATGCAGCTGACGAGGATTGACGGTCCTACCCGGGCAATGCGCGGGCATCGTCTCCTTCTACGAGCCGTTTGTCCTTACGTTCCACGCGGCATGCTAAGGTACGGTCGCGATCACTGCTGTCTCCCATCTTGGCCACGCACAAACCTTCACCTGCGCACATCGCGCAGTTACGATGACGACTCCGATGAAGAAGACAGGGACGATGATCGTGACTGAGACGATGACGTCGTCAAAGTGGCGTCGGCCCAAGCCTTCTTCTCGTCGACGATGTCGCGAACAGCATCCCAACATGCCATGAGAAACTTGTGCGACTGCTCCTCCTCCTGTCGCTTAGCTGCTGCAAAGAGCGATGCTTTGTCGTCCTTGTTGAGCATGCGCTTCAGAGTCGATTGAATCATCCACGGCCCCCAAGGCTTGCACAGCACGAGCTCGGCGTTTGCACGCTCAAGCGGCATGATGAAAAGTAGAAACTTGGCGACGCGAAAGTCCCCCGGGAAGGGGTTCCTGTTGCGAAAGAGCGAGTCGGCCATGTCCAGATAGAGCTGCTTCATCTTGCTTCGCGCACTCTCGATCTCGAGAAACGTCGCCCGGTCTTCGCCGTCGGCATACCTGTTCATCGCCCAGTTGCACGCCCAAGCCCGTAGCGCCGCAGCTGACGGCACGTTCTTCTTCTCCTCTCCCCTGTACGCTTCCGTGTCCAAACAAAAACGCCCAAACGAGTACGTCAGCACTTCGACAAAAGCCGACGAGTCAGAGGTCATTGCCCGCAACTGCGCCCGCTTCGCCTCCCGCTTCTGCCGCCGCGAGTAGCAGGCGGTGACAAGGGCAATGACAATAGTAGCTGCGGTGGCAAGTGCAGCGACAACAAACTGCCACGTCGTCGCAGAGTCCCACCCCATAATCTATGCTATGAGCAGTGCAGTGGTCGAACGCGGTCGGTCAGCGAGGCCGAGGTACGTCGACGACGAGCCCACTGCTCCAGCGAGCGAAAACGATGTCCTACTAACCCCACGCCGATCACGCGTGCTACCCGATGCCAGCTGTCGGCCGCTGCCACCGCAGTTATCACGCCCATCGCCATCGTGCCCCCGCTGGCATCATCCCCGCGACCATCATCATCGTTGTCATCATCAATCATTGATGGACGTGGGCGAGAGCGCAGTGGCTGCGGTGGCTGCTGTGGCTGCGGTGGTCTCCGGCCGCCGCCGCACTCGCTGTTGGCGCCTGTTCTTGCGGGTCTTGGGGCGCAGCAGGCCGAGGCGACTGGCCATCAGCCCGGCACCAACGCTGCTGGCGCGGTTGTACATGTCGGCAGAGGTGGCGTACCCATCGACGGCAGTCGGCCCGCCCATGACTGCGCTCCTCGTCCGCGTCGTTCTGCTCGACGCCTTGCGGTGGCACATGACGAGGCAAGCCATGCCGAGCGACGCCGAGCGCAAGCTGACCCATCGTACCGGTGATACAGCACAGAAGGGAGCAAGAGGGAGCTCGCCGCTGCCCGATCGCCGTGGGCGGCCGGCGATCTGGACAAGCTCTGGCGCACGGCGCACAGGGAGCCTTACCTAGTGGGCGGCAAGTGATGACCTTGGGTGTGGTCGCGGGTTGTGTAGAAGGTGGTGGGTGGGAGCTGGGTGGTGATGAAGGTGGTCTGATCGGGCGAGCGGGCGGCGGCTGGCGGCTGGTGGTTGGCGAGGACGGGGCAGCAGAGAAGGCGAGGTCGAGGCTGGGTGGCTTGAGAATGCTGTTGGTTGGTTGGTGGGTAGCATGGCATGTGATGGTTGATGGATGGCAGTGTCGGGGTCGGGGATGAGGATGGGGGTGAGATGGAGCGGGGAGACGAGGAGGAGGAGGAAGAAGAGGAGGAAGCCGAGTGCGCGATGGGATGATGCTGGGCATAGCCAAGGCATGGGGGTGGTGGTTGTGGCTGCGATGATAGTGATAGTGGTGGAGTAGGGGGTGAGAGTGGTGGTTGGTGGTGGTGGGGCGTCATGAGTATGGTAGGGGGGATGAGGAGGGTCGTCACGTGGGTGGCGGGACGAGCGAAGGGGTGGTGGGTATGGCGATTGGGCTGAAGGATTGATGTGGGTGGCTATGATGAGGCTGATGGCTGTATGTGGGGTGTAGGTGATGAGGAAGCCGGGTACTTGGCCAGCAGGAGGAGGGCGGCGAAAGTTAATTGAGTTGAACGTTGAATTAATTGAAGACAAGCAGGAACGGGTTGGTGGTGATGGGGCGTAATGAGTATGGTAGGGGGGATGAGGGGGTCGTGACATGGATGGCGGGACGGGCGCAAGGATGATGGGTATGGCGATTGGGCTTGAGCATTGATAAAAGGTGGGTATGATACGGCTGATGGGTATATGTGGGGTGTGGGGGATGAGGGTGGAAGGGCTTGGGCGGCAGGGGGAGAGCCGCGGACATTGATTGAGTTGAACGTTGAATTAATTTAAGACAAGCAGGAACGGGCATCAAACGAGGCAATGACAGACACAACAACAACCAGAAGTCATACATGGCATTCACAGCACACACATGAGTAAGCCAACAGGGCGGAGATGGGGATGTCCGTGCATCGTCGGGATCGGCTGGCTGGGCCGGAAGGGTTGGCGCCGCTTGCGCCTCGGCTGGACGGGTACGTGGTGAAGGGGAGG